AGGTCTACATCATAACATACCATTAAAAGTTTCTTCACTGGTGTTAAACACAATTTTATTGGCAGACAATGGATATTATGTCATTCAAAATTATCTTACATTACCATATTTCCAAAAACGTGTGTATACAAGCTTAAAAATAAATGACATTTAATATAACATTTTATTTAAGAAAACAGGCGTAGATCTGTAACAATATATTGACTCCTTTTTGGCTGTCATTAAGAACAGTCTGTTGTCCATGGACAAACGGCGTCCATGAGGACAGTATAAGAAACTTATACTGTTTCTTATACTGAGGAACAGTATAAGTTGGGTAACCCAAGTTTGACTCTGGTTGGCGTCACTTTGATTTCTTGCGATGTCTTCCTCCCATTCTGGCGTGTAATGAAGCTTCTTCACAGTTTCGCTGCAGTCAGTCAGCTTTCGGTCAAACTGCAGAGCAACGGCTGAAAAACACAAAAATAAGAGTGAAAAAGGCGCCGGTTAGAAAGATAAGATGATAAACAGGTGATAAACATTTGAAAAGTTTTGAAACATATAGAAATATTAAGTAGTGTACTGGTTATAGGTCTGAGAACAAACGCAAACCATATGGTTCCCCTTGTACACTCAGTTAAATTAATAAGGACCTGCTAATGAATATTCATTATTATTTATGTTAATGTTAGTTGACATATAATTACATACTTATCAAGCTGCAGTATATTGTAGCATTTATGATGCTGCACTCATGTTGAAATGAGTGAATCAATATTTAAAATAAAGGGTTGTTTATCAGAAAACCTAAAGATAAAACTCAGGGAGAATCAGGGTTGATTTAACACACCAGAGACAGATAAATAGAGCAAAAGGTGATTTGACCTGTAGTTGGAAAAATTATTTACAATATACAGCGATCCCACGTTTTTCGCAGGGGTTTTGTTCCGAAAATAACCTGCGATAAGTGAAATCCGCGAAGTAAAGTAGCGGGCAAAGCTGGGAGGGGAGGATAAGGGGTTGGGACACCCTATAGTGCAAACAAAGATAATTTATTTATCTTGGAGAAAAGTAGTAACTGAAGATTAACTGGAGATCAACTAGGACTTTTAGAGTTTGGGAATATTAGTATGAGGTATACAATTACCATTTAAATTCAATTATAACATGCATATCTATTGTCCTGTTTTATCAGGTGATTCTGAGGAGGAGATGGCAGAAACTCATTTGTCTGAGGACAAACCAGAGTTGAAGGAGGTGAGAGAGAAACAAGAAACTTCATGATTTCTGCAAATATTTACAAAGTAAAAGCCAGCAAATCATGGAGAACAATCTGTCTATAACTCTATTTACCATGAGCATGTTAAAAATTCTGCAGTATACATGACAGAAGTAGAATATTTTTATTAACATACATTAATAAAAAATAAAACAAACTTGTCTAACAAATTTTAAGCACAGACTGTTGGTAAAAGGAGGGTAATCATGTTAAGCATGTTTAGAAGTGTCTTGAAGTTCAAGTGGCCCGGCAGATTCTGGCTCCAAAACATCTGTTGCTTAATAAATTCTGTTCAGGATCACATTTGTCTTTGTGGGTTGAATGTTTATTATGTCCCTCCATTAGATTATGTGTTGAAAAGTGTAAAATGTGCTTTGTGCTACTGCGTGAGACTGGAATACAAGAAGTGACTACATGATGTGACTTTACCATAACTCTGATTCTTTGGTTGAAAGTTCAGTGCTCTGAAACAAGGGTGGGTAATACTGGACCTATGAGATTCAGTGTTTTGATAACCAGAACTCCCCCACCCTTGCACTACATAGAGCCACAGAGTGCCACTAATTATTCTGTAATCATCATCTAAAATACTCGGACGACAAAGCCAGGTCCCCTGCTATGTCAACCCCTGCATGTATTATGCTAAGCTAAGGAAATGATTCTCTGTGATGGCAGTGTTTGCATAGAACAGCATGATTATCATTTGGTAAGTGCTGCAATACTTGATCTTATGTAAATGTCATAGAACCCATGGTATCTCCAGTGTCTCTGGGTTGCAGCTATCATGCTCCAGAAGCACAAGAACTCAATACATGTGCTACAGTGTGAGCCACATGGAAAAGTGTTGTTAGAATAACCTCAAATCCTATAAAAAAAAAAACAAAGCAAATACCTGTAGTGTGATGAATGTTCACCACTATGATTTTAGTGCCAACAGGTTTAGTCTCCTCTTCTGGTCAAGGTACCTTTGTTTTTGGTCTGAAATGAACAAATCAGTGGATGTCCAATAAAATATGTCGTTTTCATCTATTCGGCCATTAAGCAGCACACTGCAGCTCTGTATAGTTATCCAAACTGCATTGAGAATATTTTTCGGCAAAACCATAAAATAACTTACTTTTGAATTTCAGTCTCCATCAAGCTTCAGACCTGAAATGAAATCTGAACATCTACAGGTCTCATACAGGTAATTATTCTCTTCTGCTTACAGTCTGTTAATATAACATTATCTATTTAGTAATTTAGTGTTCAAGTTCTTAATTTATTGGTCCCCAGGACAAAACAACAGTGGGACTCGGTTCCTTTGTTTTCTGCCATATTCAAATCTAAAAAATATAGTATAAGAGCTATTGCAACTGTATTAACATTATGAAGCAACAGTGATCTACGCTCTGATCCCCTTAAAGGATGACTCCATAACTGCCCCGATTCTGTGTTGTGTTTGTTCTGTTTTTGAAAATAAGTGTTAAACATCATTGTGAAGTTGAATTTTCTTATTTTCTGATTCTCTAAACTGATAGATCTTTTATGTGGACAGAAAATGCGCAAATTTTCCTCAAAACTTCTGGTTGTGGCAGGTTCAGATTTCCTGGTCCAGGAGTGTTCCAGTGTTCTTTCACCAGTTTGGTGTTTGTGATGAGCCAGGAAGCAGAGGTGCTCTACAGAACTAGACCGTGGCCTGAAAGCCTCCTTCATTTAAGTAGTAAAACTCCAGCAGGGATGCTTTTCAACATCCAGTGCTCTGAAGGTGCCATCAATCAGCTCCACCTCCCACACTGTGAGACAAAGGAGGGTAAGGATAGTACTTTTAATGGTAAAATAATTGGAAAATTACACAGATTTATTTAAAAATAGGTTACTTCATAATAACAATCAAATAAACACTATAAAAATAGCCAAGTTAAAACCTGGAGACAGACCTAGTTACAAAGACTCAACCACACAGAATGCAAAACTTCAACCTCTTTGTGTTTCTTGCAGCTCTGTGTTTTAATGGATTGCTGTCAGTCGCCCACATCACTGACGATGATGAAATGACTATTCTGCAACCAATGAAGATCACTGATACCCACGTATTGGTGGATGTTCCCCATCTGTCTGCCTTAGGCCTCATATGGGATAACTTTTGTAGGTTTTTCCAGATTAACCAGTCAGTAAACGGCCAAGTCTTGTTGTACCTCAGACCTCCAGGTAGAGGTCCTCCAACACTGGATGTGCTTCTGCTGTGTCGGAACATTCCACTTTCAGAGGTACAGAGGAGATACGTGTGTCATGTGCATCAGTTATAAAAGTTTGAATGTCACAAAAGGTTTTTATGGAATTTAACTAGAACATTGATAAAACTCAGGTTTATTTTGGCGTTAGAATGAGTCCTTTATCTTTCATGTTTTTAAGGTTTCTAAAGACCACGCTGATTCTGAGTACATTAAGGTCTCATCTGACTGCATTCTCAATGTTGGCTATAAATACAGTGCACACTGTGAACCCAAGTCTTCAAAAAACCCTGAGGTAGTTATTTACACATGATGCTTTAAACAATTTTGAGGAGAAGATTAGACTACAGAATAAAATTTTATATTTTTAACTTTTTTTTTTCAGCCTAAGCTGTTTCAAAACATGTATGGACCAAATTTCCATCCAACATTTGTAGTCTACTTGACTACAAACCCAGAGAGTCTGACCTTGATAATCAAAGACCAACATGGCACTGAAGTCTGGAAACATGACATTTACCTACCAGGTAATGGTGTTGCCGTTATATAGCAGAATGTGTTTCTGAAAACGTTTAGCCTAAATTAAATATTTTTTTAGTCAGAGTAGATGTCATTGTTCTTCAGTGTTCAGATAATCAATATCTTTGTAACCTAAAAGTAGTTGGTCAGGATTAGTCCAATTTAGTTGTTAGGTGGTCAAAAAGCATCCAAAATTGCTTGCTTTATGGAAATCAATATCTTATTGTATTGTTTGCTGAGCAGTCTTTGAGGATGTAAGTCTCCTTGCCATCACTCTCATCTTTAGTTTTGTCCACATATATTCTTTTAGATTCAAGCCTAAACTCTGGCTGGGCTGCTTGCAAACATTAATATCTAGTCAGAGGAAAATAATTTTCATGATCCATGAATAACTTTGGGCCTTGCCAATACAAAATAATTTAATTCACCCCTCTGTCATCACGCCACTTGAAACACTGAATTTAAGATAAATTGTGGATTGATGCAGTTTCATGTAATTGTATAAGATTTGGTCCCGTGCAGCAACACAAAGTAAAAACATTGAAGCATGTAATTAAGAAAACCTGTTTAATTAACATTAAAAACCACCTTGTCTAACAATTATAAAGCAGTTTTTACTAATCAAACTAAGAGCTTCAACAAATTTAAAATGTTTTTACTTTGAAAATTTGATGTAAAATGTTTATTTATGGAAATGTATTTTTATAAATTAGAAAACAAACTCTAATTTATTGTATTTTTTCCAGATCCTCCATCATCAAGCAATTCAGCAAGGCATACATCTGACACACTGAAGGTGATATTGCATTTGGTTTGACACAATATATTAACTTCAGATTAGATTTACTATGCTGGACAATGAAATTATACCAATAGCAAAAAGTTCAGCTTTAGGCTAGCTTTAATCTTATTTCTATAGAAGGTTTTACCACTGAGGTTTGTTACTTTAAACCTATGTTTATCATAAACCGTTTTTGGTAACACTTTATTTGAAGGGGGTTGAATAAGACTGTCATGACACTTTCATAAACATGACATAACACATGTCGTGAACATGAATAAGCCTTCATGAATATTTATGACTGTTGTCATAAAGTGTCATTCGGTAAATTATGACACTTTTAATACAAAGTTGACATTATTCAAAATGTCTTTATGACAACTTGACATTGACCAATAAATCATTACTGATATAAATTTGTTATAAAAGTATTACTGATTGCACTTTAAAAATGAGGTAACTTTATGTTATTAAAGGTAAAGTTTAAACAGTAATGATTTCTTGGTTAATGTCAAGTTGTCATAACAAAGACATTTTGAATAATGTCAACTTTGTATTAAAAGTGTCATAATTTACAGAATGACGCTTTATGACAACAGTCATAAATATTCATGAAGGCTTATTCATGTTCATGACAGGTGTTATGTCATGTTTATGAAAAGTGTCATGACAGTCTTATTCAACCCCCTTCAAATAAAGTGTTACCCAGTTTCTCCTCTGACTGCTATTTCCTTGTTTTAACAGAATGAAACATCAATAAAAGATGAAATCTTGAAAACTCTGAAGCATTTGACTAATGACGATTTTGAGGAATTTAAGTGGCACTTAAAGCATGAATCATTTGGCAACATCTCACCGATCCAAGAAGCAGACCTGGAAAATGCAAAGAGATGGAAAGTTGTGGGTTTGATATTGCAGCACTTCAGGGGTGCTGGAGGAGCTTTGGAGGTGACAATAATGGTTTTAAAGAAAATGGACCAGAACAACCTGGCGGAGTCATTAGAAAATTGGGCACCATAATCTCAAGATTCTTAGTCCTCTCAGCGAGCTCCCATTTGAACCTAAAGATTCTTACCAAGGAGTCATAGCTTAAGAGTGATTCAATCAGCTGCTGAGAGCAAATCTAAGCGAGGAATCGACAGAAGTTCCCATCTTATTGAGAAGGTGTGGTTGACCCCGTTCCTAGGTGTGATGCTGACTTCTCTGGACTGTGAATTAGTTCTTCTACTTCTTGTTTCATGGTGGTTTCAAACTTAATGGAGAACCAACTGATGAGAAGTATGGACCAACTGTTGCCAAATATTCATGATGCCATATACCTACCTTTTTTATTTTGTGTTGGATTTTGTAAAATAAAAGTGCTCCTTTAATTAAAAACAATTGGGTAACACTTTATTTGAAGGGGTGTGCATAAGACTGACATGACACTGTCATAAACATGACACAACACCTGTCATGAACATAAAGAAGTCTTTATGAATGTTTATGATAGTTGTCATGAAGTGTCATTTGGTAAATAATGACACATTTAATGCAAAGTTGCTCTAAAAGTTGCATTAAAAGTCAATTAAAAATGCCAACTTTGCATTAAATTATCATAATTTACAAAAATCTGGTTTATATATATATATACACACAACTTCAACTGCTTCTTCATGTGCTTTGGAGTTTCTGTGCTGATAAATTTTTTTGCGAAGCGATAAAAGCTGGGTAGCTCTTGAATTGTTACAAAATAGAGCTGTATTTCTCTCAGTCCACTAGTTGCAATGTTGACACCTTGAGATGCCATGAGACCTAAATTCTGAACATCATGGCATTGAGTGCATCCCAGTTTTCCATGTCTGGCATATAACCATTCATTTTAGCTTTTAAACTGGTTCTATTGATCATGTGTCCAGACAGAGGGATAATCAGTAGCCCAGCATCATGACCTGTTTTTTCTGAAGATCCTGGAGCTTCCACTTCATCTTCCTAACATGGCATGCAGCATTATTTCATCACAGACAAAGCATGTTGTTGTTTTATGAAAATTAATCACATTATGCTGAAAGTCACCACCTCGTGTTGTGTTTCCTTATTCGTTGTATTTATTTTATTTTATTAATTTGTCTTTTTAATCCGTTCTTAGATCTGGTCATCATTGGGCGAGGCTCTTTGTATCACATTAGAAATTGAATTGTAATATAAATTTATTGGTTTGCAGGAACATGTCAGTTTTTGACCTGGCTTCTTTTTAACCCTTGTATGTCGAAATGGGGTCCAACTGACCCCACACACGTAAAACTTGTATCATTTTCCATAGACCTCTATGTTTGCCTCAGTCCTCGCACGCACAAGAATTAAAAAGATGTTTAGTAGTAATCAATGAGTGAAGATGCCACAACTTTCATCAACTGAACAGAAACAAAACTGACATTATATTTGGACCCTAATAGGAACGATCTTGGATGAAGCTTCAGTTAATGCAGCTTAGAAACTACTGACCATGTCTGAAATATGGGAATAGACCTGAATCTTTAGAGCCACATAAAGACAGTTACAAAATTGACCTTCTATCACCTGAAGAACATTTCCAGGTTTAAAGGACTAATGTCTCAGTGTGATCTAGAGAATTTCATCCATGCATTTATCTTTCGTTGTATTGATTACTGCAACAGTGTCTTCTCAGGTCTGCTTAAAAAAATTGATCGTCCAGCTGCAGTTGATCCAGAACGCTTTCAGTTTTCATTCTCCACATATCTTTAACAAACTGCTAGAAACACTGAATTTCTCTAAATTAAGGATTAAAACCCATTTGTTTTAGTGTTGCCTTTACTTAAAAACAACTGGGACATTAATATATTTGATGATCATTCTTGATGATTTTGATGATGGGATTTGACAAAATGTAATGATAGTGTTATGTTTTAATCATTTAAACCGCTTTGAACTGCCTTGTTGCTCAAACGTGCTGTGCAAATAAACATGATTAATCTGCAACCAGTGATGATCAAATGATTAAATTGAGATTCATGTGATCTTGATCTTCACGCACCTGATATTGATTGCTGGTAAACGTGGCGAATGGTTTGGTATGTTTTTGGTCCAATAGTGTCATCTAGTGGATTTTAAGAGTTTTGTCTCCTTCAAAGTGAAAGTAAAAGTTCAACACAATGTTGTCAGAACGAAACACGCAAAGAGAAAATAAAGAGGTCACATTGGTAAGACTAAACCGTATCCACAGGTTATAATTTCCCGTTTTTACTGAATAGTTTAGTTAAAGCCGAGCCGGAAACTATTTAGATGTTCTTGTTTTCACATTTTATTGAAAATAGACGAGTATTTTCGGTCTGATAGGACACAATGGAAGATGGTGTTTTTTTTTTTACTTGGATAAATATCTTTAATGTTTGTGTTGTTTAAGCCCAATAGAAACGCTTTCCTGAAAAGACTAATTAATTTCTGTGCGTCTTGAAGGAGGTTCAGGTGAGGTTTTTCTACTTCCGGTCGACTTTCTACGTCATTTTCAAAACACCAGATTCTCATGTTATTAACTAACTTTAATGATAACTGCAGAACTTCCGTGTAAAGGTAGGAACGGTGTTTATTGTGATGTTAACGGGAGTCGTTTCATCTTCTGTGAAAGGTAAACAGAAATCTTTAAACATGGAGTGTTTTCAGGAGTTTAAAGTTTGCTTGATGTTAGCTTACCTAGCTATACTGTGATGTTGCTATCCAAGTAGCTTCAGCAAATGTTACAATTTGAATAACTTCACGGGTTTATGCGAATAGTTTGGTTGATCTAATGAAAACATTAGTGTGTCAAAGTGAAAGTTAAGTTTGTTTAGTTAGACGACAATAAACTTCATAGATGCAATTTCAGTCTAACAGTAGACTAACTTTATAATAACTTCATTTTTGTTAAAGGTACCATATAGACACCTGATGAGTTTCGTTCATGGCAGAAAGAAAATATTCAGGGTAAGTAGAAAGGACTGTTGCCTTCCTCCAAAAGGGTTTATTTATTAATTTCTTGCTGTGGAGTTTGCATATTTTTTTCCCCCATGTATGTTTACTCTTTGGGAACTCTGGCTTCATGTTGCATGTTGACCACAGTTGTCCTTAGGTGTGTTTCTGTGTCTCTGTTGCCCCATGATGTATTGGTAACCTGTACAGGATGTACCAGCTTATTGAAAGGGTTAAACAGGTATCAAAAATTCATATTATTAGCAGTGGTTTGTGTTTACAGTTATACCTCGTCTGTCAGACAACTTTAATACTTTAATCTGTTTAAACTAGAGATACAAATTCGGTGAAATGTGATATTTGCTATTATATTAGCAGTTAAAGTCGATATTAACTTACAGAAATCATGGATATTTTTCTACCCTTAGACACAGTAAAAAAAATGGCCACACCTCTGACGTTGCTTCTCTGCCTCACTGTAACACCCAACAGTCCTGTGCTCAATGAGAACATTAACTTATTCTTTTTCTATTGTGGTTTATAATGTAGCATATATGCAAGAACCTCCACAATGTTTCATTGAGATTCAAATCCGTTTGTCTCTAGGTCCAGAGAAAATGAGAAAAATCACTCCTTTATTACACCGTGTAGTCCAGGCCTGTTTTCACCAACGAATATCATGTGTTGACGGTCAGAACAGGTGCTGTTTAAGATTTGTTAAAAAACATGCAAAAATAAATTCTACTAGTAAATGCTGATCTTACTGGATGCTTTGCATTTAGTTGTTTATTTTCTTGTTTTCTCAGTGTTGGAAGGTTCATCATCATTTGAGACCTTATGGGCAGCTTACCCTTAATGTAGACCTTAAAGGTAAGTTTTACATTTCCTAATGTACAAATTACGTTGGGTAAGTTCTAAATTACATACCCAACATACATAAATGTTTCTACGTTCTACATCTGGTTTATTTGCAGAAGAGAGGTCAAGTATCATGGCTTGTTCAAAACAGTCTGCGAAAGATTATATCGCCAATGCCAGAGTTCACCTAGTTGGAGAACTGAGGAATCTGTCAGTGATTCTTGAAAACTTGCATCAGCAAGAAGTTTTCACTGATGAAGAGGTCAACACGATAAAGGCAGAGAAAGATGACTATGATAGAACCAGAGCAATACTGGACTCAGTCACTAGAAAAGGTGAAGCAGCCTGCTACGGGTTTCTAAGGATTATTGACCAGACGAGGAGGAGAACCTTAGAGAGACCAGATCCTCTCTTTAAGAACAGTCATGAAGCTTCAACTGAGGCTACAAAGT